CATCTCAAACGTGTTGTTATTTGAAAAGTTCTGTTCTATATGGTAGGTATAGATAACAACTACTAAACAATTGAATTAAAACATAGAACTGTTTCAAATAAGTTCATAAAACCGAAACACTGTCTACATTTAACTTAAACAACATAACTTTTGCATACTTAGAGCTACGTAAGCAATAAATTCTCCATTCCAAATGCAAAGATAATACGTTAAACTCCAAACATGTTATTAAGTTATGAGCAAAGATCAATCCTTAAGATCATGACTTGAACTTGTAGACTTGCCTAGCAAATATGTATATCAGTATATGTATTCTTTGAAAATTTTTCATATAAGTTAAGAAAGCAATAAAATTTATGTTTCAAATTTTATAAAATCTCCATCTCAAACGTGTTGTTATTTGAAAAGTTCTGTTCTATATGGTAGGTATAGATAACAACTACTAAACAATTGAATTAAAACATAGAACTGTTTCCTTGTCGACTAAAAAAAATTATTCATGCAAACCAGATCCAGCCACATTACACCTTTTGCTGTCTTAGACAAATTAAAAATTTTCATTTGCTATATTTCAGGCTCAAAATGTTATCATAAATAAGATTTTGTTTCAAAGTACCATCTAAATAGTACTACTGCATTCTTATTATAACCATGACAATATGTTGATTCCATGGTATCTAGACATTCTAGAAAATATCATATAAGGTAGGAAAATTGCCTGAACAACTTCTGGAATAGAAACATTCACAGACCCAGTGCTTCTATTGTTGTCCGATCCATTTTTGCAGCCAAGATTTCTAGATACTGTCCTGGTGTTCTCTACAAAATGAAACAAGAAACAAGGAAAAATAAAAGGCACATTACGTGGCTTCAATATTTTAATAGGTTTCCTTTGAGCCCCACCTCAAGGCCGGGCCTCAAGACAAAGCTCCAATTATTTGCCTCAAGACTTATGCCAGACTACAAGAGGCTTACGCCACTTACAAAGCGCTGAGGTTTAATGTCTTCACGCCTGGTGTAATGATTACAAAAATACTATTAATTTTTCCAATTCTTAAAACTTTAAAAATATTGAAGCCAAATTTATAGAATAAGTCAAATCCTATTAGTGATAATAGTAGTAATGTTAAGGATATTTTTCTAGAATTTTTTTAAGTGACAAGAAACAGGTGAATCTTTTCATAATTTTATACAACTATTATGTTTAGTAATACTCGATTACACAAATTTAGGATTTGTATAATTTTTTAATTAAAATTGAGGCTTACACCTCATACCGCCTCGAGACTTACACCTTTTTCTTCAGGAGGAAAAGCCTTGAGGATGCCCTTAGCCTTTTAAAACATGTGTGGCTTAAATTTTAAATAGAATTGTAGACATGCGCAGAAGTAAACTAAGATAATGAGTTTGGCCAATTAGGCTGCAGTGCAATATAGTAGACAACAGAAGAAGTATTCCATCAGTCTTTTGACTCTAAGTTCAGACAAGAACATACCAGCTTCAAGATTGAAATCAAGTTCTTTTGGAGCTTCTCGGCACCATTCATCTATCATAGGATTAAAGTTATACTGCGGCTCTGCCCAGGCTATCCAATCAACAATCGCCTTTGCATTCTTCAAGTCCTGAAAATAGTCATCATACGCTTACCAATCAGGCAGAATGTTCATCAAATGTCTTTATCGAACATCTTAAAATCTATAAAGCATGGTAAACCTCCAATATAACTGTCTTTATGCCCTCATGTTGCACTTTGATAACCACCTCCCTTCCGTCAAGCAGAGTTGCTCGGTGCACTTGGGCTATCTGAAAAAATAAAAAGAAACAAAATAAGGGAATTTTCAAACATGCTTAAATCCCTACACTAGAAATAAAATATCGATGGATGGTGAACCTATTCTAGTGACAGGTTTGTATCCTACAACTGTCTACGGAAAGATGATCTTACAGAAGCAGTTGCTAAGGGCGTTTCAACAAAGTTTGCAAATATATCGGTGATTGATTTCCCCAACTCTTTTTGTATAGTTTGGAGAACCTGTAATGAAACTCAACTATCAAAAATATGTCAATTAGAAATATAAGAAATAATGCTACGAGCTTATGAAGTAAGTAGTAAAAAGAACCAAAAAAAGAGTTTCCAACTTTCAATTGTGACCATCTCATGATAAGAAACTATGTACTTGCACAAGGATTTGAAATGTAGAAGAGTTTTTGTTGGAAATTTCCACTTCGAAGTATGCAGTCGTTAAGTGATTGAAAAGATTATTTAATTTAGTTTAAATCTCATTTTGGTCAATTCTCAAACATAAACTTCCATAATATATATATATTAGTCCCTAAACAGTCTCTAAAATTTTCTATCTATTGTAGTTCCTAAACTGTAAAAAATATAACCATTTTGGTTCTCACTATTATTTTGTTGTTAATTGCATAACACTGCTTCAAATATACATACTAATCAACGTGCTAAATTGACATGTATTGGAGCCACGGGCTGGTTGAGGTAGGTATTCGGTGGGTGGGTTTTGAGAGTTCGAACAATAGCGAGGACCAAAATGACTATTTTTACAACAATTTTCCAACATACCCTTTCAAATAGTATCGACTTTTTATGGAAGTTTGTTGATAGTTGAGGTACATCAAACCTCTATAAAATAGTCACGATCCATCAAGTTCCTATTTAATAAACAGGACTCATAATGCTTTTAAGCACAATAACATTCATGATGATGCACATTTCTAGAGGTTTTCTATTATGAATCCATCCACTAATCCAACTCCTTATTCAATGATCCATACAACAGATTCCATCAAATAATTTTGTGACTTTCAAACAATCAATTCTTTTATAACAAAACTTTTTCAAGCCATAATTGACTTCAGAGATAAGAAAAAGCAACAGTAACATATTTCAATTTCAAAATAATGAAGTCATTGGCTTTATGCAAACTGGCACCATCCAAATGATAATGACTGAGGAACCACTACCATAATGAAAGAATAAACATCTTGTGACTATAAGAACTATTAATTAGATGGTTTTATTTTTTTTAGAAACATATTTATAAGACAGGCATATCTATATCACTAACAAACCACAAGAGAGTTTTGTAGGAAAAAAAACACACACACACAGTAACCATAAGAGAAATGAAACATGTTTAATTTCATAAATGGTGATTCGAATGAGCAAGATATCTACCAAAGATCTGTCTCATTTATGTTCCACTAATTGGTTTCCTTTCCCAAAAAATAAAAAGCAAAAAAGATAACCTCTTGGAAAGGACGAGGAGGGAGAGAGTCTTGTAACTGTTTGAGGAGCCGTATGTATGCCTCGGGAACAACATCTGCTCGAGTAGATAAATACTGTCCAAATTTCACCCACAAACCTTCCAACTCTATAATCAAACTCAAAGCACGCTTCGCATTACGTTCATGTGCCTTTTCCCATAGAGCTGATCTTTTAGACTTGCTAGTCCACTTCTCTCTTTGTTCTAATGCCTTCATAAACCCCCAAAAGAAAATAATTAATTTAATTTTTTATTTTTCATTCTAAAAAGGGCAGCCGGATTCTTGCTTGTGGAAACAGTCAAGAGGTAAACGGGGATGAGGGATCAGGAAACTTTACCTTATAATCCAGGTATATCACTAAAGTCAGGGTGAAGACTTTCATTCTTCTTCTGTATATGTTTCCCCATGCCATCTGATAAAATAAGATCGAGAAGAAAACAAAAGAGATCTTTCTTAGAAAAATGATTAGAGAATTTATGAGGAAATCCTATGATGAGTTTAACAACTATCCGGAGTTGCAGCCTACAGGCTACTAGTAAAATATCCTTGCAATTTAAAATTGATGACCCAGAAAAGCATCTCGACTGAAATTCTGCGTGTAACTATTAAGAAATGGAAGCCGGATAAATTGATAAACTGAAAGCTAAACCCGGAAACAGCAACGGATAAATTGAAGCTAAACAGCAACCAAAAGATATCCTTAGTTTCTCATCCAACGGCCTCAAAGCCAATAACAGAAGCTAAACCCAGAAACAGCAACGGATAAATTGAGAAACTGGAAGGGGTGGTAGCCCTGTACCATCCATTGCGTGATAAGTTAAGCTTAAGCCACCTTGTTTTTTCCAATTTCAACTAAGTTAAGCATCGGGTCATCACATTTTACGTAGTGACTTTACACATAACATTTTAAATAGCTATGAACTACCTAGAAAGCATCAAATTCAACAAATAGATGAAAATTGAAGAATATTTACTACATAATCACTTCACGGACAACAGAGATTTCGGGAATCAGAATATAACAGCCTAAATAAACGTAAGATTCAACAATGCAATTGATGAAAAAACGATGATCCATACCGTGCCAGATTAATTATGCGCACGCCAAAAGCTTATGCCTAAAATCAACAAAAAGCAGCGGCAAGATTCTATCACTAACCTCGTCGGAGGAGGAAACAAAATCAAAGAAACCGGGGGAAAGCTGAAAGTACCGAAACACAAGTCCTCGAAAGTAAGAATTATTACAGAATCAATCGATATAGAGATCGAAATTTCCCTATTCGATCAGAGTTTTGTCGCTTTCAGTTATTTTTTCCCTGAATTGGAATTTGCTTCGCCTTTCTTTTCTTCGGTGATGTGGTTTGCAATCCGATCACCTAACTCTTTATGCGACAACGACTTTCACAAATTTATGGCAATATTTTGCCTCAGATAAAACCAATCAGAAATGGCCACGTCGACGATCGGGCTATGATGTGGCTGCTTATGTGGAATGTTAATGCCCCGTTCGGAACCTTGAGTGTGAAACAAACTGAAATGAGGACGTGGAACGTCTCTTTGCCGTACGATTAGAACAGTTGTTGTCTTTACTTTTGGTGGGAATAAACTATTTTGTTTTAACAAGTTAAAAATTCTATTTTAAATTTTAATTTTATTGTTTTATAGTACAACCTATCTGGTGGAGAATTCAAACTCAAAATGTAAATTACGGTTGATTTATCTGCTTTGACAATTTTTAATTTTATTTTGATTGTTATAACTTTTTGTTTCATTTTAGTTCCAATATTTACATATTGAATTTTCTCAATTAAGTTTTCACAATTATTTGATACTAACACAATGATTGAGCTCTATACTCTTTTTATTCTCAATTGTCGAAATTAATAATATACTAGTGTTTTAATCGATCAAATTTGATAGATTATTATGGAATTTAAATCTTCCATCAATATTTTGACATTTGTAGATACATTTAGTATTTATATTGTATCATACAAAACATTATTATTGATTATCTTTTACTAAAAAAAAATAAGTGTGGAATGTTTATTCCAACAATTTTTATTTCACGTTCCTAATTTTTCATTGTTTTTTATTCAATGATAGCATTAATATTTTAAGTTTTCTTTGTCATATAGGATTGTATTCAAATTCCTAACCTTTTAATTATGAGTACGTATTTTAATCTGGGTTGACATGATCCAAATAATATTTTAATTGTCGTATGCAGTTGTATAATTGTTTTAATTTCTTAATTTTTAAATACAATTCTGTATTTGTTATTTAAGTAGTCTGCGAATATAGAGCTGCCTTTCCTTTTTTTAGTACAGATATAAAGTTGCATTGTTTATTATAATTTGGGTTGCCATTAAATACATAATTCCATTTTAGCTCTTGTATTAGTGTAATAAAGCTGTATTTCCCTTTTTAGTATAAATATAAAGCTGCCTTATTTATAGTAATTTGGGTTAACATTAAATACACAATTGCAATCTCTCTCTTTCTAATAAAACACAATCAGCCCTTGTATCAATGTAATAATTCCTAAAAAGAAAAAATCAGTGTAATACGACGTATATATTTACTTATTTATTATGATTTTTTTCCTATTTACTTTTGTTTTTTACAAATTTAATATCTTAGAGATTGAACTTTCAAGTCTATAAAATATAATAGATAGCTTAGTTGTTGGAGTAATGTTTCAAGTCATATTAATTATTAAGTAATTAGTAGAATATTGGTTGTAGTCATGTTTCAAGTAATATTAATTTTCAAGTAATTAGTATAATGAATTATGTTATTAAAAGAAAAAAAAAAGTCACACTTATCTTGTGAACAAAATTACTTCAATATTTTAAAAACAATTTGTGTGGAAAATAAGAAAAGGACAAAAAGGGCAAAACAAAAAATTGTTGAAACATTGAATCTTATCAGTATCGTTAATATCCACAAATTCAATCAGTGGCCAGTTACTCTCACACATCCACACTCCACAGCATAGTGATTTTTGTAATTTTGTTTTATTTTGTATTTTTTGTGTTTTTTAATGGGCATCCATCGTCGTAGAGTCGTTGTCAATCAGCCACGTATCTAAATACTTTGTTGTGATTTGCTAACATAACATATTGCACTATCCAAAATTTTAAAAATATTAATTTCTTCGTTTTTTCATGGCATATATATTTTTAAAAAACGAAACAGATATTAAATATCTGTTGTAAATTTGTACACGTTTTTTTCCCCCGAGAAGTACACTTATTTACGTTGAAATTAAAAATTTAAGATATTTTTATTTGGACTGGTAATTTCCCATAAAAGTTTATTATAATCATTTTGTACGTTATACTAAAAAAAAATTATAAACAATATATTATCAATTTGGTTTCTAAAATTTTAATACCGTGTCTCTTTTATATGGTCTATAATTTTTTTAAAATATTTAATTTGATTAAATACGTAAGTTAACCAGCTTTTTATTTTAATAAAAACTAATTTTAAACTATTTATTTTTAAATTAAAGAATATATATATTTGGGACAAACAATATATAGTTATCTGACGGTAACTGGTAAGTAAGATTTCAATTAATTAAATAGTAAACTCGACCGATCTTTATGGAAAAATATTAAAAACTTTTAAGAATTAAAGCAGAATATACGTGAGGGTGCAGAAAAGGAAAAAGGACGCAAAACATAGTAAAATAATTAAAAGCCATTGACAAATGTCCAATGGAGTGGAGCCGACGACGACAAAATAAATACAAGTCGATCGCCATGGCCAAATTTCAACTTTGAACTTCGAAGAATTTGTTCGTCATCTGTCCCTTGCTCTGGAGTTGCTGTGCCGAGATTGGAGCCCATGGCGATCTCAAAGCTCGCCATTTTGTCGATTTTTCTAGCCCTAGTTGTCACGTACGTTCGTGCTGATGTATCGGTTGATGGAGAAGGGGAACATGTAGTTGAAGGCGTTGGATCGGATGTTTCCGAGTTATCTGATTTGAAGGTCGAATTGGATGAGCTTAAGTTCAAGATCCAAAAGCTTGGTTAGATATCAATTATCCTTAACTTTAGCTGTCATTTATTCTAAGTTGTACTGTTGTTTTGATTTTTGAGGAAGCATAAGCAGAAAAGGAAAAAACTGGAGGAAAAGTCTAATTGCATGGAGAATACAGACCAGTTCCTACGAGTTTAATTTTAGTATTCATTGGATTAATAATTTGATGCTATCTTGGAAATGGCCAGATTTAAAACGTCATCACGCTTTGATAATCTGTATCTGCTAGACAGATCTATTGTGAAGTTGTTTCTCAAGTTGTAGACAGTAAGGTATAAGAATTTTAAGAAATTAACGGTTTCTAGACTTGCCAGTGTTCTATCTTACCTGGAAAAGCTGGTTCCATTTCGTTTTAATTAATAATTATCATCACATTGAGAGTCGACTAACTGTTTGTTGTATTGTTAATTAATTAGGAATAACTATATAACATCAATTGTAAGTTACTTTTCACACTTGGAAGTGTCAATCAATGTACTGCGTGGTGGTTGAATATTGACGTAGAGTAAAATGAGCGATGATTGGGCACTTCATACTTCTGTCTGAATGTTTTTGACTGACTTCGCAATTTCTAATTGGTGTCCTGTTGTTTCTTTGTTGTTGTTGCCAACGCTCGACTTTACCCAATGCTGAAGAATCCCACCATGATGAAAAAAACCAAGAATTGAAGAGGAAGGATGAGGTAATAGCTCAGAAGGAAAAGATCATTAGCGCCAAGATAGATAGCATTTTGTCGCTTGAAAGTGAGATTGCTTCTCTTCAGGTTTGTGGCATTAGCAGTTAGGCATTTACTATGTCTTTCAGGATGGTGAAACTTTCATCCAAATATACGTGCTTTAAGGCTTACAGTGTTATTCTTCTCCCTATTATTTTTCAACCTGAAATCCCCACACCCTCCCCCCACTTTCTCTTGTATTCATCATTAGTTTTTATGGTTGTTCTTGTTGCTATATTTATCTTTAAAAACCCATATCCGATGCTTCACTCAAATGCTGAACTTGTTCAATCTATTATCGGGCAAAGAAAAAAGGGAAATTAGATGCTGAGGAGCAGGTTGGGAAGGCATATGCACGTGCTGATGAATTAGAAAGACAGGCAAGAAATGAGAAGCAATATTTTTTATTTCCAAAAAAACCACTTTCTACTTTTTGCTGATGTACCGCCCTTCTGCAGGTTGATGCTCTCAAAAGAGAATTTGAGACACTGAATAGGGAGAAAGAATCCTGGGAAACTCAAACAAATGAAGCTGAGAAGAAAATACACGAAGTCAGTTTAAGATTAGAGAATGTAAGATATTATTGCTTTAGTTTTTCCTTCTATAGTTCTAGTTTTTAGGTTGATGGCTTTTTATTGCTTGATAATAACTTTGTGTAGTAGCACGTAATAACTTCCATGCATGAAATATGGGAAATGTTATCATTTTTTTTTCTGCTACACCATCAACGAGCCGGATGTTTTTGCTGTAAAACTCAAGGAAAGGCTAAGGATGTCTAATCCGATGTACTTTCTACTTTTAAGTTATAATTCACAGTTATGAGTCCATGGATGAGGGTTTTAGATTTCGTGGGGGTTTAAAGAATATATTATTATTATTATTTTAATCTTAATCTCACTTGATTTGACAATTTCCTTAATTCTCTGCAGTTCATACTACTTCTGATAAATCTTGTGTTTCTTTTCTAGCAGTCCAACTCCAGATATCAATTATGTTGTCTTTATATTGTTTTCATTATAACAGATAGTCTCGCATTTATTCCTTCTGACACTAACTTCGTACGTGTTATGGACATACCTGATATTGGAAGATGTTTTGACTTTTCAGTTCCAGAAGATTCATGAAGAACAGAAGACTAGAATCCGTGTAACTGAACGGGCTCTTGAAGTGTCTAAGGTACTTCATAATGATTCTAAACAATATTAATTCTAGACTCTTGACGGTAACGTTTTGTTGCATATTCTTATTTTTAAAATTTTAGGAAGAGATGAGGAAGGCAAAGTTTGAGGCAGCTTCTAAAATCAAAGAGTTAACAGAGGTGATGTTGAATAATCTAGTGTGATGGATGTTTTTTTTTTATTGAAGCTCTGAGGGTAATGCTAAATTTATTCCGTCATCAGGTTCATGGTGCGTGGCTCCCGCCTTGGCTTGCTTCACATTATGACAATCTTCAGGTACTGCTCTAGTATTTTGTTTTTTTCTTTCCTCTCCCCATCTTTTATTCCTTTGAATCTGAAGGTTTACCTCTTTGCAGTCTTTGGTTACAGCACACTGGAATGAGCATGCAAAACCTGCAATTGATGTAGTAGTTCAGAAGGTATCATTATATTACCATCACTTTCTCTGAACTATTTTGACAATAAGAAAATGTTACTGATGGCATCTTTCTTCCCTTTTCTCCTTTTTGTTCTTTGAATTTTCTGGTTTTGGGTCACGTTTTATTAAGGTAGAATTAGATTAGGTCTTCTGTGATCTGTACGGGTTGAGTTAGTTTAGTTATGTTATATTATATAACTCTTAGTTGATATCCGTTGTAGACTTGAAGTAAATTGAACTGATTGGTTGGTTATTCACTTTATTGTTATTGTTATGAATAAGCCTGTATTCACTTTTTGGCTAGTGTGTGATCCGTTAAATTTATCAACTAACTCCTGTTCCAAATTTGCTGCAGGCTTTGGATAAGAAGGCACAAGCTTCAAAATGGGCTGAACCCCATATCGAGACAATGAAAGTAGTAAGCTTTTAGTTTGTATTTACTTTTTGTGCTTTGATCTCTTAGAAATTTATGTGGTACCACAAGTAATGACGCTCTGTATTTCAATTATCTAGTATCTTCATTGAATAGTTCAGTTAAACACCTTAAAGTGCTTATATTATATGATACAGGATCTTGTTATGCAAATTTGGGCTTCTCATTCTTATTATCTTCGAGGTTTTTTCTGAGAATTCTTTATGTATAATCAGAATGCACTGATCTTCTCATTCAGTTGATTAGCTCGTGTTCTTGATTACTTTAGACCTATTAGTATTAGTTCAGCCACAAGTCTGTACATATTCTTCCATGAATGAAACCTACATTTATCTTCCTCTGAAGAAGGTAAATACTAATAAAAAATTAAACCTATTTACCTATTAGTTTAGTCACACAAATCTGTACAAGATTGTTGCTAAAATTTTGGCCAAGAGGCGTACTTTTTAAAAAATAAGAAATCAATCAATTTCACAGATTATCTGAAATCACACAAAGGAGAGGAAAGCCAAGCCTCAAACTAAGGAAGATTACAAAAAGCTCCTCCTGGCCACAAAAACATTTCAACTATGGAAACGTATGTCTCTCCTCCTTTCAGCCTTTGGGATGTGAGAAAGGAAGAAAGGCGTACACTTTTTAAGTTGATTGCAATAATGTGGATTGGGGAGTTTCTTGATAAAGTCTTGTTGAAGAGATGTTTTGGTTTTAAATGGGATAGGAAATTGTCTTCCTTTGAATTTCTCTGTTGGGTAATGGAAAATCCAAGGAAAAGACTCTCTCCACCAGAGAGTTAAGACAGGTGACATGTTGTCTTCTGTTCTTTCCATTATTGGCAGCGGATGGGATAAGTGAACCTATCTTTAGTGAATATAGTGGGGCTTTATTTAAGGGCATTTTGTTGGAGAACCGTAGGGATATGTGTATCTTGCTCACCTCAATTCCCTCCCTGCATCGTACAACCATTATCTTTCCTGATCCATTTTCTTTCAGTCCTTTCTTCGTCATTTCATAAAACTCAGAATAATTGTGTTATGAGTTCATCGATCTCATAAATTTTGGCGGTGTTGATTTCATCATTCCCCCCCTATTTCTTCTTTCCTTGCCTTGGTTTTTGACAAATTTGAACTTATTTTGATTGTCTCAGCTTCTCTTGAAGCTCATTTGTGGTGTTGTGGGTGCCTCATTGGGATTGTAAAGGATGACAGAAGTTCTCTTGGATCCCTTTTTTGAGTTCAACTTGGGTGGAGATTCAAACCTCCAATTTTTTGGTATATATGCCTTAATCAATTAAGCTAGGTTTAAGTTTCGCTTTGGATCTTCTTTTTAGAGAAGGGGAGGTTGTTATTGCAACCCAGTTTTTTTGTTCTTTTGAGAGTAGGAATTACAGGGTTTTGTAGGGGTAGAGGAGACTTGGGACGAGTTCTGTAGACCTGTAGTGTTGCTCACTTCAGTACCTCCCTATAGCTGTCTGTGAATAGAAAGTTTTGTGATTGTCCTTGATTTCTATTCATTAATCATTGGAGTTGCTTTGTATAACCGGGATCCTGTTGGTTTCTCATTATTTGTTATTTAAACGTATTATCTTTTTTAAAAAGAGAACAATACATATAGAACTCAGAAAAACCAATGAAAAATTGATTTCATAAGTATTCTGTAAACTAATGAATACATGCTGTGCTGGATACCTATAACTGACTAGCTCTAGCAAGTAGAATGAGAGCATCAACAAGGTTTATTTTTCTACTCTTTTTTATTTTTATTTTTTGCTGTATGAAGTTTCTTCAGATGACATTCCTATAGTAGTAAAAAGTGGGTTGCTCTCTCTTATCTGTCCAATGACATTGCTTGCAGAAATATATTCCCGCTGTGAAGGAAAGATGGTTGGTAGTAAAAACGAATGTCAAACCACATGTACAGACATTAACTACAAAAACTGTAGAATTTTATGAGACGTCGAAGAGTGCAATAACTCCTTACGTCACTAGATCTAAAGAAGCTATCGGTCCGTACTATGTGGTACGTTGTCTGAATGTCTTCATTTTTTCCTCTCTAAATTTTAAATAGCTATTCACGAGAAAGGGATATTTTCTTTTTTTCTCGATGACAGGAAGTCAAGAAAATCAGCAAGCCTTATATTGATCAGGTTGCTACTGTTACGAAACCCCATGTAGAAAAGGTCAGGGTGGCCTTGAAACCCTATACAAAGAAGTTAGTTCATGCATATGGAAAATTTCTAAAATCTGCGGCCATATATCATCATAAGGTACACTCCATACATTCTTCCCTACTTATTTACTAACTGTGAAGGATCTATAGACTCTGGTAACTGATTTGCTGGTTTATGTACTTTGAAATAAGTGGCTGTGTTATTGTTCTGCAGAAACTAACACACAAATTTAAAATTCTTCCCTTTTTTTCCAACCCAAATACCCCGAGTCTCTGAGCTGGGTTTACACTTCCAATCCACCCTGTCCATGTTTTTTTTGGGACATATTCAATTTGTCTTAGAAAGTGAAAAAATTTGAACTGCATTCGTAGCTATGCCCAAACAATAGCTAAGATTTTTTTGGTCGGTGGAGAAACTTTAGAACGAAGCTGATATAGAATAAAAGATTTGCTCATATTTTATGGACATTTACCTGTCCTTCCATTTAATCACCTTGGACTAACTGTTAGCTATGATATAATTCATTTCTTTTTTTCTTTGACATACAGTATTTCCTCTCTCAAACAAGATGACTGTATTGAGGAAATAATATGGTAATTGGCTCTAATTTTAAACGAATGAAATTGCAATTGGTTAGCCAGGTTGCTTAGAGGAGATATTTCTTTTTGATCATATGAAGGTGCTTAAAAGCGAGCAAGGGTAATTGTAGAATTATCATTTCGTTGAGTTCTTAAATTGCTCAAAATTTTCGACTGGAAATGTAGAATTTCCTTCTTTAACAATATAGACTGTCGATAGTGATTTATTTAAATGAGATTGTGCAGCTTCTCAGCTGTAGCTGTAATCATATGCATTTTTTAAATTCCTATAAGGAATCTGAATACACTAAACGAACTAAGTAACTATATTACAATATCCAACGAGATAGTCACAATATCAATAGGCTTTCGAGAGGGCTATCTCTCTCCCAAGAACACTCTCAAATCCTCACCGTAAACTATTCTCCAAGATATCATTCTCCTCTCCCTACTACCCTATTTATAACAACTCTCCCCTAACTAATTACCTTAATACCCTCCCACTAATATACTACTAATATTCCCAAACAATCCTTACCAGGACTCTTACAATTTCCCAGAACTATGTTTATCCTTTTCTTGACAGAAAATAACCATATTTTATTATTTGCTTGTCAAGGTTCAAGGTGCTGTTAAAGATACTCTTAATAGACACGAATTGACCAGGCCCCTCGCAACTAGAGAGTTGGAGTGGTTTGCGGTATGCATATTTTACGATGCTCAACTTTTTTTCTTTTTCTTTTTCTGCCATACTCTTTCATCTTTTCTAAAATTGAATTACAATTAAAACACTGCAGGCTTCTGCTTTATTGGCTCTTCCAATACTTCTGCTGTTCAATATGTGCTCTGCCATTTTCTGGTCAGTATTATATGTGCAGTGCTATGCCCTTTTTTTCCTTTCTTTTTTCAAAAAAGAGAGATGCAGTTCTATGTTAATACAACTGAAACTGCTCTTCTTTCATATATTGGATTGGGAAACACAACCTTAATAAAATGTGTTCACTAAGTCGTACTACTGTGTCCTTGAGTTTTAATATTTCGAAATGGTAAATAGATCTTTCTCATTTATGGATATTAACTCGAGGTTCCTGATCACTCCAGGAAAAAAACCAAGAAACCTATTCGAAACAGCAACGCCCACCATGCACGTCGTAAGGGTAAAAGGGGGCATCCAGACAAGTAGAAGGCTATCATTTTGCACGTCAAGCTGTAGTGGGAGGATACTTTGGAGGTTTGATTTGATGATTTTGAAATCTAAAAGAAAGTATTATATTCAATTGGTAGAACTTCGTCATCTGAATCTGTTTACTTGGTACTTCAATTGTTTGCAGATGAGGTTCATACTTACGGGCTTTCGTGATTATCGAGTGCCTTCATGGCTGTAAGCCGATAATTATTTTTTGTATTTCGTTATTAGGTCCTGCTGCATATTCTTTCATCGTCTGCAATAGCATTTTAGGTCCTTGTTCGATTATCATTTAGTTATCAGGAAGGAGACGGCCAGAGCCTATAGAAGTTAATGTATAATAAATAGTACGTTGCTTAATTTTATTTTCGAGGAGTTTTAACATTTTTCTTCCCAATATAATTAAGACATGTATTTTACCCCTTAGGTTACGGCGCAGGGATAATTTCTCTCTAATTTGGTCCCAATAGTTTCAGTTCAGTTTCAAACTAGTCCCTCCGATTTGGGCTTCGTTTCAATCTTATCCGTGCCTTGAAAACCTTCAATTTGGTCGGGTCAAACTTCACAAATTGTTACCGATGTTGCGAGTTTTCTAGTTACAATGGTAATGAGCTGGTGTGTCTATTAGGCTAAAAGCTTAGGCCGTGTAAAAAAGGGAAAATGTGGTGAATTTTGGTGGGTAAAAATTGGTTTGAAGACCATTTAGGTAGTATAACCAAGCAATACGACTTAGGTTAAAATTTTTAAAATCATAAGAATTAAATTGAAACTAACCTCAAAGAATAAGTACTAAATTAAAATTATAAAAGATCACATTGATAATGGTTCTATGTGTTTTTTGGCACTTGACGATGTAGGATTAGGCGGTTGTCCGGTGAGATTAGTCGAGGTGTGTGTAACACTCACGGATAAAAAAAAATATATATATATATATATATATATATATTTTTTCTTTTAAAATACTAAGACAGATTTGACCTTCTAATTTTTTTTATTTTTATTTATTTATTTATGGGGTTCAAGAAGCATGCATATATTGTTGTATCGGGAACAAGGCTGTCTTCAGGTTTCTTTGATATTTAATAATCCAGAAATCATTATCTTTTGAAAAGCATTTCCATTTTTAAGATTATAAAATTCTTTAGAATTTATAAATCCTCTAGCCCAATAGAACTAACATGACTGGAAATTTTCAAAATCTAAAAATTTGGTTCATTCTTGAAATAATGGAAATTTCTGAATAGATTCTATACATGCAAAATAAAACTTAGAATAATGTAAAGCCCATTAGATTCGAGAGAAATTTTAACTTGGACAAAGTATGAAAGCTCAAATGGTTAAAAAAAAGTAGGGCTTTGACCTTAACATATATGAAATTAAGGGTAATTTTGTAATTTTCCCAAAAACTTTCACATTTTTTTTGCATCAAGGTCTCCAATTGAGGCTGTGGTTGATGGTCAAAGATTGCTAGCATTTATCAAATTAAAATATTCTGTTTTTGTGCCAATGCCGACATCACATCTCTAATTTTGATTCTAATTTCTAGATATATGAGATTGTTAGTTACTTTATTTTGCATCACGATTTCAAATATTCGTTTTTATAAAGTTGTAAAATTATTGTTTATAAATCTTTTTTTTTTTTCCTTTTGAATGATCTAAACGCATTTCCAATAATATTTAATTTTAAAATTAAAAAAA